TCTTTGCCTGAGTTCTGAAGAGACCCCCAAGCACCCCACTGCCAAATGCCTCTGTGGATAAAAGAACAGCTCCCCAGGACTTACCCTGATCTACCCAACCAAAATACCCAGGGAATATCTGCTCTTTTAAAGTTCCTTGGGCAATATTGATGATTCAGAACCACTTTAAAAAAGCACTACACCCCTCCTAACCGTCTGCTGGAAACTGTCCCCCTTGGTTTCCCTGAAACTTACTGCCCTGCCCACTTCCCTCCATCCCCCTCCCACTCACGCAGCCTCTTCCGTCTCCCATCCCTTCTCTGTGATCCTTCCCCAAAGGGCTATCCTCCACCTTCAGTTCCTCTCCTTCAAACCACTCAGACTCCTCTACCTCCCTTAAAATCCAGCCCCACAATTCAACAGCCTGTGGGAAGGGACTTCTGCCTGCAATCTCCAATTCAACTAAGCTTCTTCCCCTAAACTCAGGTGACAGTTCAGTGAATGCATTATCATTATTACAGTGCCCAGGTTTGAAACCCTGGATCACCTCTGGCCCATCCCAACCCTCTCTCTGCCCTGTTCTCCACCTCCACTTTATTAAACTGTTCACCAAGTCTTAACCTTAAGGGTGTCTGAAACATAGTAGGTGTCTTACATGAATTACCTCTGTCAGTTCACCTGTAAAACAAGGGAAAAGACCAACCTTTCAGGTTGTGTTAGAAATAAATAACATCCTAGAATGTAAATTACATAACAACTGGTACATACTAGGTGCTCAGTAAATGTTCCTTTCTCCTTTACATCTTTTCTGCAAAAGATCACCCTAGACAGGGGCTTCCCTGGTGGCGCAGTGGTTGAGAGTCCGCCTGCCGATGCAGGGGACGCGGGTTTGTGCCCCGGTCCGGGAAGATCCCACATGCCGCGGAGCGGCTGGCCCCGTGAGCCATGGCCGCTGAACCTGCGCGTCTAGAGCCTGTGCTCCGCAACAGGAGAGGTCACAACAGTGAGAGGCCCGAGTACCGCAAAAAAAAAAAAGATCACCCTAGACAAAAGTGTTCCCACCCTACAATGGATTGGCTAAATAAAGGAACAGAAAGATCTGGAATCCGAAAAATGAAGTTTTGAGTTCCAGCTCTATGATGAGTTTCGTCAAATCACCTAACCTTGCTGAACTGGCACCCTCATCTGCCACATAAAATTCCACCTTATCTATTTCACAGTCTTCCATGAAAGCATTAATCTGACATAAGGGCCTCCTAAAAACCATCTCTGACACACAGCTCTCTGATCACTCAGATGGCACTTAACAACTACAAGGGTGAGGAACAGCCTTAAGTCTTGAAATTGAATACCACCCTCACTCCTCACCGGACCATGTTATCTTTGGTAGTTAAACATTGTAAACTTCTGTTTCTTCATGCAGGCACTGAGGAAAATACCTGACCAACCTGCAGCTTGTAGAAAGTCTTCAGAAGATGAACATTTGAAATCACTTCATAAACTGTAAAACGCTACAGAACCGCAGGAGGTTATCACCAGCATTTCTACCTTCTCAGGCTCCTAGAAACAGGCTCAATGCTTGACTGAGTACCGTCTTTCAATCCCATCCAAGTCCCACCTCTTCGAGTAGCACTGACGTATATACACTACCAAATGTAAAATAGAGAGCTAGTGGGAAGCAGCTGCATCGCAGGGGGAGATCAGCTCGGTGCTTTGTGACCACCTAGAGGGGTGGGATAGGGAGGGTGGGAGGGAGACACAGGAGGGAGGGGATATGGGGATATATGTATACATATAGCTGATTCACTTTGTTATACAGCAAAAACTAACACAACATTGTAAAGCAATTATACTCCAAAAAAGATGTTAAAAAAAAAAAAGTCCCACCTCCTCTATAAAACTTTTCTCCATTTCCAAACCATCATTTCTATTCCTTTCCTTCCAATGGGCTCTGTCACATAATTGGCCTTGCATAGCTCTCTGTTACTGTATTTCACCTCCTTAACTAGACCATAAGTATCCCAAGGAGAGAGACCATTATTTAACCATCTGCATTACCAGTGTATCTCCAATGCTTCTGGCAGCTGAGAGTATAAATACATTCAGTACATAAACTCTTGGTTAGTACATTCCAAGTACCCCGTCAACGTCAGTGAATAAGTATTACTAGCACCTCAAACAGACAATAAACTTAACCTGGGATGTACAGATATATGTTCAAATGTAAACTTATTAAGTACTACTATGACCGTCTTTGACCTGAAAAGTCACACTTCGAACAGGGGGACCACACCCATCAATCACACAGTCTCCCTTCCACGTCCAGTCGTCGCAGTTCTGGGGTGTGCAGGTGTCCGTGCTGCCGCCCGTTCCCCCGTCTAGCCTGCACTATTTTCATTCTCTGACTGGCAGGCCCTGGCACCTCGAAGGGGGTTACACGCTGCGGGAGCTAACCCTGGCCCTGAGCGTCTATGTACTACTTCTGATATCCAAGTGCACCCGGTCGTACCAGGCTGCTCGAGAGCCAGCCCCTCTCGCACGGAAGGAGTAAACTGATACCCCAAGAGCATGTCGGCTGAAGCCGCGGCCCCAGGAGGCTGGTCCGGGGCAGCGCCAGAGGATGAACTGAGGCCGGCAGCGAACGGAGCGGCGGGCTCACAGGGGTCTGGGCTCCCGGAGAGTCGGGGACTACGGGGTCGCGCTCGCTGGGGTCGGGGTCGGGGCTCCCACGGCCTCCCCCCACCCCGAGCTTCCCGCCGGCCGCGCATTACCTGCAGCACCAGAGCCTGCGCGGCCCCCGGCGGGAAGCCCATACGATCCGACGGGTGGCGCAGCAGGCGGTAGAAGTCCGTCTTGCGGTAGAGGAAGCCGAAGAGCACACGCAGAAAGTCCTGAACGTTGCCCACGTGCTGCAGGATGCCCAACAGGGCCTGATCGTACAGCTCCGCCGCCCCGGGCTCCATGGCGTCGCTGGCCGGAGGGAAGCTCACTCACTGCGGGCGCGGCCCGGACGCCGGCCTGGGCCCACTTCCGGTGCGCTGTGATTATGGCGCCGGCAGCCAGCTCGCCCGTGAAACTTCCGGTCCGCGCTAGTTCGCCCCAGCGGTAGGGCTCGGCTGGGCTGAGTTTGAGTCGACTTGACGCGGGCCCCGCCCCCACCGCCCCTGGCTTCCCGAGCGGTCTCGCTGAGGAGCGGACGTGGGCCCATAAACGCAAGAAAGCCCGGAGCTGCGGGACTGAGGGCGCCTAGTGGCCATGTTGGCAACGGACGGAAGACGTGTAGCGCGGGCAAGTGTTAAGTGCGCCTCGCTGTTGTCACGTGGTCTTTGGGTTGCGTTCCCAACTGGGTGTCCCGAGCCCCAGGCGGGACGGCGGGAGCCTTTTGCTGGCGCGTCAGAAGAGGAAATGCGAGCGCTTGCGGGTGGTGTCTGTCCTGTTAATAACGGAGCCGTGGGTGAAATGCAAGGTGAAGTGCATAAATACAAAAAGACAAGAATGTAAAGTGAGTGCATGCACAAATATTAAATGGAAAGAGCTAGGTGCAGAGTAGAGAATCTGGCGTGCCATCCCGTGAAATATACACATACGTATGTATTTGTGTGTAGTATGTACATTGTATGAGTAGTATACACCCAGCGTGTATACGCGTCCTAAGTGTCTGTCAAAGCATAATCTTAAACTAAAAATATAACACTCATACAAATATGTCATGAACACATGTGAAACATTTATACATTTTAAGTAAAGTAACCAGTGATATGACAAAGCTAGTTTGGAGAAGCTTTTGGAGAAACTGGATATTTATCAGCACTTTGAGAAAACAGAGTAAGATTGCTAGGTGGGATATGAAGCTGGCTGGTGTCCTACAAAATGATGTAGATTATCTTTTCCAGTGGATAGAAATGATTTGCATCTCTACTGGCCTAAAATCTACACGTTAACATATATCTTCATAGTGCATGGGCGCTAATGAATTGTAAATAAAGGCAAACTCAGATAAATTGCCCTAGAGCAGTGGTTTTGAAACTTCCTGGACTTAGGACCCATTTACTGGGAATTCCTTGGCGGTCCGGTGGTTAGGACTCTGAGCTCTCACTGCCGAGGGCCCAGGTTCAATCCCTGGTCAGGGAACTAAGATCCCACATTTCGTAAGGCACGGCCAAAAGAAAAAGAAAAAAAAAGGACCCATTTTCACTCTTAAGATTTATTGAAGACTCCAAAGAGTCTTCAATATTTTATGTAGATTATGCTTATCGGTAGTTACCACATTGGAAATTAAAACTGAGAAAATTTTTAAATATTTCTTTATGCATTCTAATAACCATAAAAAACACATTATGTATTAACATATTTTTATGAAGAAATAATGTTCTTCAAAACAGTAAAAGTTTATGAGAAACATAGCATCCTTTTAAATTTTGCAAATCTCTTTACTATCTAGCTAATTGAAGACAGCAAGATTCTCTCATCTGCTGCATTCACTGCATTGCAATATGTTGTTTTGATTGAAGTATAAGAAACCCAGTCTTGGGGCTTCCCTGGTGGCGCAGTGGTTGAGAGTCCACCTGCCGATGCAGGGGACACGAGTTCGTGCCCCGGTCCGGGAAGATCCCACATGCCACGGAGCGGCTGGGCCCGTGAGCCATGGCCGCTGAGCCTGCGCGTCCGGAGCCTGTGCTCCGCAACGGGAGAGGCCACAACAGTGAGAGGCCCGCGTACCGCAAAAAAAAGAAAAAAAAAAGAAACCCAGTCTCATACAAATAGTAGTTTGTCTTTTTAAATAAATGTGAGTATTATTCTTGGACACTACACCAAAATTCTACAGATTGTAGTTTGTCAGTGGTTAGTTGCAATATGGAAGCTGAAAACCCAATCAATAAATGTTTCCTACTTTGTCACATTAATACCCATTGGTCTATCCTATACTTTGAATGGATCTTTGTTGGTTCACAATCTAGCCCCCATACACCCAGGGCAAGGAGAGACCGAAGAAAGAGGCAAACCACTTCAGATTGGTAGGTGGCAGGTTTAATAAGCAAGGGAAGTAACTTACAAGGCTAGCCTGGGCAGCCACTCTGCCAGAATCTTAGAAGTTTATACAGAAGCCTTAACTGGGTTCAGTCACGTACACTGACTGGATGGTCTCATCAACACCTTACTCTCTCAAGGCCATTTCCCTGAAAACAGCTCCCACTGTGGGAACGGTAGGCAGAGCGTACAAGGACAGCAGAAGGGGTGAGGGGTCTCCTATTGCCTGAGTCCAGCTGGAGGGTCAACCAGGGATAGTGTTCTCTTGATTACCCGCCCCCAACAATCTTTTTTACACACATGATTTTGTAACACCAGAATGGAAGGAAGAATGTGACACAAGAATCTAACTGTATTAAAAATGTACGAAACAGCCTCTCCGAAAGGGGTGGTAGAAGAAGATGCTGACCTAAGTAACTTTGGAAATGAATGGTGTCTGGAAGACTAAAGGCTAAAGGAACTGTACATAGCAGACACTTAATTCTAAGGTTGTTTTCCACAGGGATATGAGTTATCATTTCTGAAACTACTACGTATGTACAGAGGAAATGAACAATTATGTAAATGGTGAGGGTGGTACAGCCGGGCTTCTCACTATTGGCATGGGAGGCTACAGATAAGCAAGAGAGCAGTCTAGAATGATTCGCGTGGTTATGGGTTAGAGGCGGAGGCATCAGCATTAACTCCTGTTTAGCTTAATATAGATACAAATGGCTACATATAGCAATATTTATAGAAATGTGTACATACATGGGTCAGCGTACACACGTTTCCTTGCTCTCTCAGCTGAGAGGACCCAGAAGCAACAATGCCCCAGCAGCAACGCACACACTGAACACCCCGATCCTGGTTTCTAATCCCATCTCCAATAGAAGGGCTAGAACTCCTGGGAGAAACAACTGACTCTAGGACTGGGGCAGAAATATACAAGTTGAGCCTGGATCATCTTATAATGCCAGAAAGTAAGGAAGTGCTCAAAAAGGGGAAAAAATTCCACAGTGATGGGAGTATGCCAAAGGGACCCAGGAGCCAATTGAAAGAGCTCCCAATGGCCAAACGTGGAACAATTTGAGCCTCAGATAAAGTAGTATATTAGAACCCAAAGTTCAAAATGAGTATCCGTGAGTCCATACTGATATAGATATCATACCGAATAAATAAATAAATGGAGAGGAACAGACAATTTTCCTGTTCAGAAGAGTTCCGAATAAGTTATGTAAACACCCCACCTGCCAGGAAGTGGAACATAACTCCCCCCTCCTTAAGTGTGGGCTGTGCACAGCGACTTCCGTCCAAAGAGCACAGCGTGGAAACAGGTGCAAGATAACTGTACAGGGAAGACGCCTGGCCGTTGCAACCTCAGCCAGGTGGTCAGAGTCAGCATCACAGCGATGCGTGGTGGCGACTGCAGGCACCCCTGGCACGATATGCTGAGAACGGTGCTCTGCCTCTGCGGTCTCCCTCCCAAAAGCCCATCACCCTAGTTTAATCGGGAGAAACACCAGACAAACCCCATTTGAAGGACATTCTGTAAAATGCCTGACCAGTCTTCAACTGTCCGGGTCATCAAAAACAAAGAAAAGGAGAGTCTGACAAACTGTCACAGCCCAGAGGAGCCTAAGTAGACATAACATCTGAGTATTATGTGGTGTCCTGGATGGGATCCTAGCACAGAAAATGGACACTAGATAAAAGCTACGGAAATCTAAACAAAGTATGGGCTTTAGTTAGTAGTAATTATCAGTACTGGTTCATTAATTGTACACTGACAAGTGTATTATACTAATGTAATATGTTAGCAGGGTAAACTGGGTGGGGGGCATACAGAAACTCTGTACTATCTCTGTAATATTTCTGTAAAACTATTCTAAAATTTAAAAGTCTTCTTTTAAAAAAGTGTTTTTAAAAAAGGGATAATCATCCATAATCGTACCCTCCTGCCTCTCAAAAGTAAGTGGAGCGTTTCGGTGGTATTGGTGCAGGGAGAGAGGCACCCTCATCCACTGCTGGTGTGAACAGGGCAACCTCTCTGGGAGGCATTTGCCTGTATGCTGTTCAGTGCTACAGCGATGGTAGCTCCCCACACATAGACAGGAGACGTGTAAGCACGTGCTCATCACACAGGTCCATGGTTCCATACCTGAAATCCCATAGGTGAGCTGAATTTCAGGATTTAGAACATTTTTTAGAAAGGTAATTTGATGCTTACAGTACATTAGATATTAGACCCCAGGAGGATCTGGGGCAGCGACACAAAATCAAACTCATTAATGCACTGAAATATATGACTATTCACAACAAGTTGGTTGAACAGTGTAAGTGTCCTATTTATAAAGTATAAATAGATACATCTTGTCTGATCGGTTTTTGCCACCAAATGAGTTTGTCCCAAACTTACAGGAGAAAAAGAGACAAACACAGTAGGTTTTCAGAGCTTTGGGAGCTCTGAATTCCACAAAAGTGACTGTGGACTTATAGCAGAAAAATAATTGGGGACAATGTGATTGCCCACTAGCTGGGGAATGGATAAAAACACCGTGTTCGTTCACACAATGGAATGCTGTGTCGCAGTTCAAATGATTGGACTAGATCTCCCCGTATCAACATGAATAAATCAAAAAAATGTATGTTGCGTGCAAAAATAAAACAACCTCATTGCAAAAGGATAGGTCAAGTATAATATCAATTAAGGAAAACTTTTAAATGTGCAATAATATTATATGTTTACATACACAGAACTAAAGTTTTAAAACTTGCATGAGGAGGACACACGTCAAATTCAAGAGGTGGGTCAGGACCAGATCACACCCACGCCATCGCGCGCCACCTCCATCACAATCGTGTGTCCCTGTGGGTGAGACCTCATGGCCAGAGGGTGACCTGTCGCGGGCACTCCTGTGGGGACAGCCTCTCCCAGGCCCTGAGGGCGGGGATGGGTCAAGGGACCCCCACAGAGGAGCCCTCATGGCCCCTCAGGTCAGGGCCGGTGAGCTTGGACAGGGGCTCCGGCTCCATCAGAGCTTCTGCCTATTGTGAGGCCGAGAGCTACCCAGGCCACCCTCGCTCTTGGCAGGACTTTCAAAGCCGTAGTTGACATAGACACTGTTGGCCGTGCTCATCGGGGCAGGGCGCTTTGACCAGGAGGCCGCCGTGGCTGCAGTCACCTCCCCCTCCTGCTTCTGCAGCTGCACCAGAGCTGGGTTGACATCAGGCCCTGCAGAGGGATAGGTACAGAGGACCACGGTCAGGGAAGCGTGTGCTGGATGCGGGGCGCAGGCATTTGCTGTGGCCTAAAAAGGAAGTTCCTGAGAGCGAGAACTAAGCCCGAAGCCCTCCACCTCCACCACTGCCCCTCGCCCCAGCCCTCGCTCCACCCTACACCTAAATGCCAGTAGCCGTTTCAGCCGCCATCTGCGCCCAGCCCCTGGCCCACCTGCCTTCCAGTGCAGACCCCCGCCATCCGGGGATCTTGCAGGGGAAGCCCCCAGACACCCATGGCCTGTGACTGCCACCCCCTCCTCTCTTCATGGACACCCTGTGCAAGCGCTCCTTGCCGAGAGAAGCCGTTCCTCGCTCTGTTGTCAGACTCAGGTCAGGGAGGGGCCCGGGGGTCTCTGCGCCTGCCACTCGCCTCTCTGTCAAGATCCCAGGCCACTCTGAGGGGGCAGGACCTGCGAGCTCCTTCCTCACTCCCGGCCACTCGGAATCTCCAAGGGGTGGCCACAACCTGTGGGACCTGTAGCTCCCCAACTGGGTGACCCCTGGGGCTGTCCTCCTCACCACCCACCATCCCCAATACACTCTCCTCTTCCAAAGGGGGTCAGGAAGTTTCTACAAGATGCTGGTGCCTTGGGTAGGGGTGCTGGAGCTGTGTAGCCTCCAGATACACTGCGTGTGACCAGCTCTGTGACTGGGGTGGGAGTCTCAGTTTCCTCATCGGTGAAATGGGGATGAAAACATCACCTACCTCCAGAGGTGATAAGACGACTAGTGCACATATATTAGAGCACAAACACACCCTTCTGTAAATGTTTTCTCTAAAATTACCATTGTTATTATTCTGGGTGTCAGGGAATGGTGCAGCATTGAACTGCTCTCAGCTTGCCCACCGTAACAGGGGGGACGCTTCGTCCTGCGGGCCCAGTTTAAATCTCTGTGGGGGTGGGGCGGTGGAATTCCCTGGTGGTCCAGCGGTCAGGACTCCGTGCTTTTACTGCCGAGAGCACGGGTTCAGTCCCTGGTCGGGAACGAAGGTCCCGCAAGCCGCCCAGTGCGACCAAAAAAAAAAATCTCTTTTGGGGGACGGGGTGTGTAAATGACTGTGCTCAACAATGAGGAAACAGAAATGCACGTGTTGCCGGTAGGAGTTTAAATGATAAAACTTGCTGGAGGGCGTTAACCATTGGCATGAATAATCAACATTCACAGACTGGACTTTCTCCAGGAAATATTGGAGGATGAGGTCAAAGATTCAGCCACAAGGATGGTCATCGAGGCACTGGCAATAACATGGAAAGTCAGGAATAGTCTAATGTCCAGCAGCTGCGAGCTGGTTAAATGGACTGTGGCTGATCCATAGGAGAAGATATGTTTTTCGACTGCAAGTGGTCACCCATGAATGAGTGATGAAATCAATTTCGCAGATAACACCAGCATTTTTTTAAAAATCAATGATAGACTAGAACAGAAAATATCCAAGGCTTCTCCGGCAGTGTCATTTTGTGAAATGCTTGTTCTACTCTGCCTGTCCGTGTCCATGCCTGTACACATCACCTCTCAGTGTGAAAATATATTTCCTGCTGAAAGTCACGATCAAAAGTTCAACAGCACACAGCACAGGACCATACGGCCACTGAAAGTGTTTGAAACATACATCTGACAAAAAAAAAAAAAAAAGATGTTTTCACATGTTAAGTGAAAGACCCCAGTTTTTCCAAGCCAGGAGGAACTGTGTGCTCGCAATCTGGGCGGTGACTGTCCCGAGTAAGCAGGGCTGTGTGTGTTCGTGGCATTTTGCCTGTGGCCTGGAGTCATGAGGGAGGGGCCTGGCAGTGTCAGAGGACCCCAGGCGCTCACCCAGGTAGCTGAGGATGACCGGCAGGAAGACCAGGCCATGCAGCAGGCCCAGCACAGTGATGAGGAGGTTGAGACGGAAGAAGAAGGTCTGGATGAGCTGCGCCTTGGCCAGGCCCAGGACGAGGATGCCGGGCAGGTTGGTCATGGCCACTCCTGCGAACACCTGGGGGTCACAGGTGGGCGTCAGGCTGGGCACGGGGCAGCCGGCCGAGGGCTACGTGAGGCAGCCCATCCACTCACCGCGCTGCCCATGGAGATGGTGGCCTCCTTGGCCCTCTCAAGCCGCGTGGGCTTGGTGCTGATGGCAAAGGAGCGGGTGATGTGGGACACGAACTCCACAGAGATGCCCACCGCCTGTGGGGAGAGAGGGGGCTTCAGCCACAAAAGGGCGGGGGCAGGGGTCTCCACCCAGACCAGCGGGCAGCATCTAGACTCTAGAAAGAGCTGGGGTCGTCCTATGAGGCCAGCACCCCTCCTGCCCTGGAGCCCTGCCCCTTCGGCCAGCAGGTTACCGTGACCAGGTTGATGAGGGACACAGCATTGTAGCTGATATCCCACAGGGTCATGAAGCCCACAGTGTCCACCAGGATCATGATGATGGAGAACAGGTTGAGGAGGCCGGAGCAGATGTCCATGCCCAGCAGGAAGCAGCAGACAGCGAAGGTGGGCAGCAGGCAGACGGTGAGCAAGAACACCCCCTCAGGGACCACGGTCAGGTACTGCTCATAGAACACGTTGGTGATCCTGCGGGTCGCAGGGCACAGTCACCGCTCCATGGCTTCCCACGCCCACTTCAGGATGAGCATGCAGCTAGGGGAGGGTGTTGGGGGGCCCGGGCCCAGGTGCAGCCCGAGCCTCCCTGCTGCAGCCCATCCCCACCCAGCAGCCGCCCTCACCAGCCCAGCACCCTCACCCGGGCCCACCTCCCTGCATCCCAGTGCCCAGGGACTCACGTGTAAGGGAAGACCTCAAAGTCTGGGTCGGTGCCCGGCACCTTCCGCAGGTCGGCGGTGATGTTGGCTGCCAGCGCCCGAGCTGCCCGCAGAGCCTCCGTGTAATCCTGAGAGTTCTTCAGCGGCTTGTGGTAGGCCATGAACCGCGAGGCTGCAAAGGTCAGAGCCTGTGCCAGGCGCCCTCAGAACCCCCAAGGGATAGCGCCCGGCTGGGTTCAGGGCTCTGCCGCCACCATCTGGGAATTCTTAATACATTTTGAGCAAAGGGCCCAGCATGTTGGTTTGGCCCCAGTCCTGCAAACTCTGCAGCTGGTCCTACTGCTGTGCAAGACTCAAGTCCCAGCCCTGCCTCTGAAGGATAGAGCTTGCAGAGATCTCCCAGGACTTCCTGGTGGCGCAGTGGTTAAGAATCCGTCTGCCAACGCAGAGGACACGGGTTACAGCCCCGGTCCAGGAAGATCCCACATGCCGCAGAGCAGCTAAGCCCGTGCGCCACAACTACTGAGCCTGCACTCTAGAGCCTATGAGCCACAACTACTGAGTCCATGCACCACAGCTACTGAAGCCCACGTGCCTAGAGCCTGTGCTCCACAACAGAAGAAGCCACTGCAACGAGAAGCCCAAGCACCGCAAGGAAGAGTATCCCCCTCTCACCACAACTAGAGAAAGCCCGTGCGCAGCAACAAAGACCCAACGCAGCCAAAAATAAAATTAAATTAAGAAAAAAAGAAGAAGAGATCTCCCAGATGAACCCAAACGCTGCTCTGTATGGTTTCAAAACATGCATTGGATTTTTAAAATTCATTTAATTACTTTTCCAATGTACATATTCCTATAGGAGAGGACCAGAAAGGGAGACAGAAAAATGGAAACAGCTTACTTAACAGAGCTGTGCATCAGGGCACCCACTGGGTAAGTCAACAGTCATTCATTTAACCAGCTGCCCACTGCCCACATCTGGGTGTGACTTGTGCCTGAGAGAAAAGGATGTGGGTGGCTCCCGGGTGTGGCATCAGCCACTGAAAAGTCCATGAACGTCACACTGACCTTGGATTTGGGGGTGGGGAGAAGGAAGCAGGGCAGAAATGGGGTAAAGTCTGAGGATGTGGAGCTGGGCAACGTGACCTCTGAAGCTAGGGCCAGGGCAGTTAGAAGTCCTCCATAAAGGAGGGAGGAGAGAAGGTTCGAGGTGGAGAAGCTGTTCCCTGGGACTCGTGGGGCCCCCGGAGCAGCTGACTCTGGTCTTCCCCTCCAGTCGAGGCCGTGCTTACCTAAGACCTGGCCGTCTGGGCCCAGATTCACGGAGGCGCTGTACGCTGCCAGGCCGCTGCAGGGAGAAGAGCAGAGCAGGTTAGCCAAGGATCGGGCCCCTCCGTGCGCCTGGCCTGTGGCCGCTCCCAGAGAACCCACACTGCCTCCTGCCCCTCTGTGCCCCCGCCTTGGGCGCCCACACAGCTGTCCTCCCTGGTGGACCCGCCACCCCAGCCTACCCTTTGGGACATTTGATGTTGGGCTCATCGCTCAGGAACCAGGGAAGATACTTGTGGAACTCCTCCACTGATGGCCGGACAGACCCTGCTGTGTGTCTCATGCAGTTCTTCAAGCAGGCCAGGGAGTCTGCAAAGAGAGCAGGGGCTCCAGGTGGCGGCACCCACAAGGCCAGTCAGCGCCCCCTCTGCCCACCTTGTGGTCCTTTCCCATCATGATCCCCACGCACTGCCACTGCCGCAACAGGCGTGGGTACTTCTGGAGAGATTTGCATTTGTCTCTAACTATGGGAGGAGTTCCCCTCTCAGTTATGGAAACAGCTGGTACCTATGAGCAAGTGAGGAAGAGAAGTTTGGGACAGAGAAGCAGCCACCACGGGGCCTCCCCACTCCGCCTACAAGCGCAGCTGCTCCAGGGTAGGGCCACGTGCCGATCCCAGCTCTCACTCGACTCCCTTGGCATGTGAGCAGCAGCCTGCCCGGCGGGTGTGGGCACAACTCAGCAGGGGCATGAGGGGGTGATTGCCTGGTGGGCCAGCTGGGCGTCCACACATACGGGTGCAGTCCCCCACACCTGTGCACCAAGACGGGACCCCCCCGCCCCGACTGACCCTGCCGAAGAGCGGGAGGGGCTAAGAGATCCTCCACCAGTCCTGTCCTTTTTCTAGCCTCAGTTTCCCCAAGATGTAGTGGGCCCTGAGCCCCCAGAGGCCCCATACTCACTGACAGTCGAGGGGCAGAACTCATCTTTATTGGGGCCAAAGACATAAAGGCGGCAGCAGGAAGATGAGGACAGCCAGTCAATGAAGTCGTCCACCCAGGAGGAGGCAGGGATGGCCAGGTAAGACCTGAGGGTCGGGGAGAGGAGCTCAGGGGACAGGACCACACAGGCAGGCTGTGGCGGGTCCTTCCTACGGTCCAACCTTCACTCTGGGCCTCCCCAGGCACATGGCAGCAGGTGGGCAGCAGAGCAGGGTAGGGGGACAGCCAGGGGTGGGCTGGGGCACTCACTCATCAGGGAACTCGGTGGCGTACTGGATCTTCTGGGTCAAGGAGAAGTTGTTGCAGCCTGCGCTGGAGCAGATGGCGTTCAAACCTGCCTCACTGGAGAAGTTGTAGCCCCCAGTGGTTACAAAGTAGACTGGGACCCCCACCTCAAAGTAGCGGTTCAGAAAGAGGAAATAGTCAAGCAGGTACGAGTCCTGGAACAGAGGACAGTCAGTGAGGCCAGGGCCAGACACACCCCAAGAGCCTCACTCCAGCAAATGCTCAAGAGGTACACACACAGAGGTGCATGCTCACAGGGGTACAGAGATACGTGCTCACAGAGTCACACGTACGGTTCCATTACAGATGTACATGGTCAGAGGTGTGCCCATAGAGGTACACACTCCAAGGTACACACATCCAGGTATAATTACAGGTACATGCACAGAACACACTCATGGAGGTACATGCACAGAGCATCACATGCCAGCCTGCATGAACACACTCTGACACACACACAAACATATACACATAATTTTACCCCTTCTTATCATCCCCAGTTTGGTACAGGCACAGTCTAACAAGTGACCACAGACTGCACAGACACGCACATGTAAACACCCATGTGCACACCCTCAAGGCCATGTGCCAGGCATCTGCATGGCCTGTTCCCTTCTCCTATAACGTAAAACCTCAAAGTGACATCAGGGATGATGTTGGAATAGGAAGAACCAGGATTCCACCTCCCCACCTAGACTCCAACTGCACTGGCAGAATCTGTCTGATGTAACTATTCTGGAATTCTGGGGTCGATTGAGGGCTTGAAGCTTCCAGAGGATGGCTTGGATGGTTCTTAGCATGGTACTGGCTACTCATCCTTTATCCTCCCAGCCTGAAGCAGGCAGCCATGCACACATTCCAGGAACAGTTTGCACACAGCTTGCAGGATCCAGGGTAGGCTATAAGGCCCATCTCTTAAATATCAAGGATATGTGTTCTGATCACTTATTGCTGCTTCTGATATCCGTAGAGCAGACACAGAGTCAGGCACCATTAAAACCTTCACCTCAAGCTGAAGTTACTTCCAAGATATTTAAAGAGCAAGTGCTTGATTTATTGTTTTTCCCCTTCATATCTCCCTTTTTCTCCTTTTGAGAGCCAGACCTTTAAGAAACATGACACTCAAAATCAACCACAAATACAGGGGAATTTAAACAGTCACTGCTCATGCCTGGGGAAAGGTGAAGGCTCAGAAAAGATCTGGAAAGACTTTAACTTTACATCTCAGGCTGATCTCCATGACAGAGACATCAGTAACAATTAAGTTTTTAAAAATAAATAAATAGGGCTTCCCTGATGGTGCAGTGGTGGAGAATCCGCCTGCCAATGCAGGGGATATGGGTTTGACCCTGGCCCAGGAGGATCCCACATGCCGCGGAGCAACTAAGCCCATGTGCCACAACTACTGAGCCTGCACTCTAGAGCCCGCGTGCCACAACTACTGAAGCCCATGCACCTAGAGCCCATGTTCTGCAACAAGAGAAGCCATGACAATGAGAAGCCCGCGCACCGCAATGAAGAGTAGCCCCCGCTCACTGCAACTAGAGAAAGCCCACGCACAGCAACAAAGACCCAACACAGCCAAAAATAAAAACAAATAAATAAATTTATAAAAATAAATAAATAAATAAGCAAACCCTGGGGAAGGAAGAGAATCTGATCTCTAGAGTTACTGTGGACTCTCAAATGTCCATTTTTCAACAACAATAACAACGAAAATCATAAAACATACAAAGACTCAGAAAGATATGGCCCATACCTAGGAACAAAAATTAATCAACAGACACCATCCCTAAGAAAGACCAGACAATGGATTTATTAGACAGAGACTTTAAAACAACGATCTTAGAGATGCTCAAAGAGCTAAAATAACATATGGACAAAGTCAAGAAAAAGATGTATGAACAAAATGGAATGATCAATAAAGAGAAAACATAAAAGAGAACCAAAAAGAAATTCTGGGGCTGAAAAGTACAATAATTAAATAAACAATTCACTATAGGGATTCAAAAGTATATTTGAGCAGTCAGAAGAAGAATTACCAAACATGAAGATAGGACAATTGAAATTATCAAGTGAAGAAGAGAAAGAAAAAAGAATAAAGAAAAATGAACCTGTGGGACATCATCAAGCAGACCAACATACGCATCATGGGAATCCCAGAAAGAGAAGAGAGAGAAAGAAAGAGGAAGAAAGATTATTTGAAGAAATAACAGCCAAAATTTCATAAATCTGATGAAAGATATGAATATAAACATCCAAGAAGCTTAACAAACTCCAAGTAGGATAAAATCAAAGAGACCCACACCAAGGCACATTACAATTCAGCTGTTGAACGATAAAGACAAAAAGTGAATTTTGAAAGCAACAAAAGAGAAGAAGCTTATCATATACAAAGGATCCCAAATAAGATTATAAGCACAGTTCTTATTAGAAAACTTGAAGGCCAGAAGGTGGTGGGTTTGTATACTCAAAGTACTTAAGGGGAAAAAACTGTCAACCAAGAATCCTACTTCTGGCAAAACCGTACTTCAGAAATGAGGGGAAGATTAAGACATTACCAGATAAACAAGTGCAGAAGGAGTTTATTGCCACAAGACCTGTCCTGCAAGAAGCACTAAAAGGAGTCTTTCAAGTTGAAATGAAAGGATGCTAGGGTATAACTCAAAGCCATATAAAGAAATGAAGATCAGTGGTAAAGGTAAATACATCGAAAATTATAAAAGCTAGTTTTATTGTAACTTTGGTTTGTAACTCCATTTTTTTATTTCTACATAACTTAAGAGACTAATACATAAAAAGTGATTAGTCTGCATTTTTGGATACACAGTACGTAAAGATGTAATTTTGTGATAGCAATGACTAAAAGGAAATGGAAAGGAACTGTATAGGAACAGATTTTTTCTATGTAATTCATGTTAAACTAGGATAAATTCAACAAATTTTAGGATATTTAATGTAATCTCCCTGGTAACCACAAAGAAAATAGCCATGGAATATACACAAAAGGAGATGGGAAAGGAATTTAAGCATTTCACTATCAACTAAACAAAAAGAAGACAGTAATGCAGGAAATGAGAGACAAAAAAGCTATAAGGTATATAGAAAACAAATAGCTCAACGACATAAGTAAGTCTTTCCTTATCAGTAATTACTTTACATGTAAATAGACGAATCTCTCCAGAAAGAAGTCAGAGGTTAACAGCATGGATAAGAAAAACATGATCCGACTACATGATGTCTATAAGAGACTCACTTGATATCCAAAGTTGCCCACAGGTTGAAAGTGAAAGTATAGAAAAAAGATATTCCATGCAAATAGTAGCCAAAGGAGAGGTGGCTGTCCTACTACCAGGTAAAATAAAAAGGTTACAAAAGACAAAGAAGAACATTATATATTAATAGAAGATTCAACAAAGCAAGAGTAAGTGTGTATAAACAGTTACACACCTAATGAATGACCATCAAAATCTATGAAGCAAAACTTGATAGAAATGAAGGGAGAAATAGAAAGTTCTACAATAATAGTAGGAGAGTTCAATACTCCAGTGTCAATAATGGTAGGACACACAGACAAGATAATTAAGGAAATAGAGGACTCGAACAACACAATAAACCAACTAAATCTAACAGACATATGCAGAAACTCTGCCCAACAACCACAAAATACATATTTCTCTCAAATACACATGGAACATTCTCCAGGATAAACCATGTGTTTGGCCACATATTAGATCTCAACATTTAAAAAGATAGTTATCATATTATATATATTCTCAGACCACGACTACATGAAGTTAGAAATCAGTAACAGAAGGAAAACTGAAAATTTCACAAACTTGTAGAAATTATACATCACACTCTTAAACAACCAGTGGGTCAAAGAACAAATCAGAAAGGAAATTAGAAATTTACAGATGAATGAAAATGAAAACATAACATGCCAACACTTATGGGATGCAGTGAAAGCAGTGCTAAGGAGGAAATTTATAGCTATAAATGTTCACAATAAAAAAGAAGAAAGATCTCAAGTCATCATCCTAACTTACAGAACCAGAAAAAAAAAAAAAACTAACTAAACACAAAGCTGCCAAGACAAAAGAAATAATAAAGATTGGAGCAGAGATAAATAAAATAGAGAATAGGAAAACAATATAGAAAATCAATGAAACCAAGAATTGGTTCTTCAAAAAGTTTGACAAAAGCAACAAAGATTTACTTATGTCGACTAAGAAAAAAAGAAAAGACTCAAATTACTAAATCTGAATTGAAAGTGGGACACAACTACTGATTCTACAGAAATAAAAGGAATTGTAAGTAAGTACTATGACCAATTGTATGCAAACAAATTGAATAACCTAGATGAAATGGACAAATTCCAAGAAACACAGAGCCTACCAACATTGTGAAAAGAAGAAATAGAAAATCTGAATAGACCCATAACTAGTAAGGAGTTTGAATCCATTTTCAAAAATCAACTCAACATAGAAAAGCCCTGTACCTGATGACTTCACTGGTGAATTCTACCAAACATTTTAAGAAGAATTAACACCAATACTCCTTAAACTCTTCCAAATAATTGAAGAGGAGGAAACACCTTTAGCTCATTCTATAAGGCCAGCATTGCCCTAATACCAAAGCCAGACAAAGACACTACATGAAAAGAAAGACTACAGACAAATATCCCTTATGAATATTGATGAAAAAAAATCCTCAACAAAATACTAGCAAATTGAGTTCAACAATATTTTAAAAGGGTTATACACTGTGACCAAATGGGATTTATCTCAGAATTCAAGAGTGGTTCAACACATGAAAATCAGTCAATGTAATACACCACATTAATAGAATGAAGAGAAAATCACATGATCATCTCAACTGATGCAGAAAAACTTTTGACAAAATCCCACATCCTAGGAATTCCCTGGCAGTCCAGTGGTTAGGACTCAGCGCTTTCACTGCTCTGGCCCGGGCTCACCCCCTTGTTGAGGAACTAATATCCTGCAAGCCGTGCAGCGTGGACAAAAAAAAAAAAAGAATTCCACATCCTTTTATGAAAAAAAAACTCAGAAAAGCAGGAGTACAGCAGAGTTCCTCAACATGATAAAAGCCATAGATATGAAAATCCCATAGCTAATATCATACTCAGTGGTAAAAAACTGAAAGAATTTCCTCTAAGATTGAGAACAAGATAAGGATGCCTGCTTTCACCACTTCTATTCAACATAATACTGGAAGTTGTAGTCAGAGCAGTTAGGCAAGGAAAAGAAATTAAAGGCATCTAAACTGAAAAGCAAGTAAAATTATCTCTGTTCATAAAATACATGATCTTATATACATATATAAAACTCTAAAGATCCACCAGAAAAAACCCGTTAGAACTAATAAATTCAGCAGAATTGTAGGTTACAAAATTAACACACAAAAATCAGTTGTATTTCTATACATGAGCAATGAGTAATCCAAAAAGGAAATTAAGAAAACAATTCCATTTACTATAGCACCATAAAATACTTAGGAATTAACTTCACCGAGGAGGTGAAAGACTTATACACTGAAAACTAAAAAACATTGCTGAAAGAAATTAAAGAAGACAGAAATTGAAAGACATCCAATATTCATGAGCTGGAGGATTTAATATTGTTAAGATGTCAATAGTACCCAAAGCAATCTATAGATTCAGTGAAATCCTTATCAAGATCCCAATGATTTTTCTGCATAAATACAAAAATCCATCCTAAAATTCATACTGGAATCTCAAGGGACCCCAAATAATTAAATAATCTTGGCAAAGAAGAACAAAGTTGAATGACTCATATTTCCTGATTTCAAAATTTACCACAAAGATACAATAATCAAAACAGTGTGACTGCAAAAAAAAAAAAAAAAAAAGTGAAATTTTGGGGCTTCCCTGGTGGTGCAGTGGTTGAGAGTCTGCCTGCCGATGCAGCGGACACGGGTTCGTGCCCCGGTCCAGGAAGATCCCACATGCCGCGGAGCGGCTGGGCCCGTGAGCCTGTGCTCCACAACAGTGAGAGGCCCGTGTACCAAAAAAAAAAAAAAAAAACAGTGTGGTACTGGCACAAAGACAGACACATAGACCAATAGAATAGAACAGAAAGCCTAGAATTAAACCCTCACATATATGGTCAAATGATTTTTGACAAGGGAGCCAAGACCATTCCCACCAACAAATGGTGCTGGGGAAACTGGATATCTACATGCAAAAGAATGAAGTTGGACCTTCAAAAATATACATAAATATATATAAAAATCAACCCAAAATGGATCTAAATTTACGAGTTAAAACTACAAAACTCTTAGAATAAAACATAGGGGGAAAACTTCAGTACATTGGATTTGGCAGTGATTTATTGTTTTTTGTTGTTGTTGTTGTTTTTGGCCACGCCACAAGGCTTGCGGGATCTCAGTTCCCCAACCAGGGACTGAACCCGGGCCCTGGCAGCAAAAGCCCAGAGTCCTAACCACTAGACCATTAGGGAACTCCTGGCAAAGATTTATTCTTGAATATGACACTAAAGGCACAGTTAACGGACAGAAAAATAGACAAATTAGACTTTATGAAAATTAAAACCTTTGGTGCATCAAAGCACACTACCAATAGAGTAAAAAAGCAACCGACAGAAATGAAGGAAATATTCACAAATCACATATCTGATAAGGGATTGATTATCCAGGATATCTAGAGAACTCTTAGAACTCAACAACAAAATCCAATCCAATTCAAAACTAGACATTTCTCCAAAGGAGCTATACAAATGGACAGTAAGTACATGCTTAACACCACTAATTGTTAGGGAAATGCAAATCAAAACCACAATGAGATACCACCTCACACCCATTAGGATGGCTATTATCAAAAAAGAAACAAACAAACAAACCAAAAAAACCCAGAAAACAACTGTCGGTGAGGATGTGGAGAAATTGGAACCCTGTGCGTTGTTGGTAGGAATGTAAAATGGTACAGCTGCTGCTATGGCAAACAGTATGGAGCTTCCTCAGAAAATTAAAAACTAGAATTGCCATATGATTTAGCAATTCCACTTCTGGGTATATACCCAAAATAATTGACAGCAGGGTCTCAAGGAGATACTTGTAAACCCATGTTCATAGCAGCATTATCTCACAATAGCTAAAACGTGGAAGCAACCCATATCCATCAACAGAAAAATGGTTAAGGAAACTGTGATGTATATGCATTCGTATACATATGAATATTCTTCAGCCTTTAAAAGGAAGAAAATTCTAACACGTGTTACAACATAGCTGAACCTTGAGGACATTATGCTAAGTGAACGAAGCCCATCACAAAAGGACAAATAACGTATGATTCCACTTACATGAGGTGCCTAGATTAGGCAACTTCAGAGACAGAGGGTAGGATGATGGGTGCCAAGGGCTGGGGGGAGGGGATGGGGAGTCAGTGTTTAATAGGGACAGAGGTTCAGTTTTGCAGGATGAAAGATGGAGATGGATGGTGGTGAGTGTTGCACAACAATGTGAACATACTTAAAATGGCAAATTTAATGTTACGTATATTTTACCAGAAGAAAAAACGGAGAGAAATAAGCTTTATAACCTCATAAGAAACAAACAAATCTCCCCCAAGAAAAATAAACAAAGGGCATAAACAAAACCTCAGCTGGGTCTTGCAGCCCATCACCACCTTCCTTCTCGCTCATTGGCTCTGCCCACCAGGTCCCTGATGCCCATCCTGGGGGCGCTGGGGACCCTCTTCTCTTCAGCCCTGTGAGCAGCCCCCAGGGCCACCATGGGTGGCAGGGTCATTCTGCACCCTTGCTGGCTTTGCTGCCTCCTCTTCCTCCCTACGATGGCTCGAAGGTGCCGTCCTGGCTGTCGGCTCTCCTCCCACCTCATCTTGCTTCCAAGGCCAGCACCACCTGCAGATGGCTACCCAGACTACTCATCCCAGGGCTCCTGCCAGCAACTGGACTCCCATCACCCTGCCCAGGGTGGCCCTGGGTGTCCGAGCCCTCATGACGCTCTGCCTCCCCCGGAGCGCGGGCACGCAGACCTGCTTTCCCCCAGCCACCAGCCCACACCACCTCTGGTTGCACATCCAGACGAGCCTCTCCGATGTGTGCTTGCTGGCCCCAGCCTGGCAGTCAGCACCCTTCCCCACCCCCGAGCCCCGGCCTCCTGCTCTCGGGCTCTACCACCACTCCTCCCCACACCCAGTCACTCCCACACCCAGGAAATGCACCTGGGTGAGCCCCAGCCTCCCACGGGTCCGTGCCGTCACCCTTGCTGCCTTCCTCTGCAAATCCCACTCATGCTCAGATGCCCCTCGATCTCTCCTCTGCCCAGGACCCTCAAGTCACAGAGGTCTTTCCTTCCACTCTGCTGCCAGCCTCCAAGAACTCCCAGTACCTGGTGGGGAGGGGCTGCCCCGGCTCACCTAGGAAGAAGCCCCTGACCCTCACTGTCTTTCAGAGGACGGTACGGTGACATGGGCTGCTGCGGAGCCCAGGTCTGAGGATGTGGCGTGCCCAGGAGAAGGCAGGTGCTCAGCGAGCCTGCCCTGACAATCATCTCGAGCGGCTCCCATGGCCAGCCCCTCGGGTGCCTGGTCGTCTCTCTCTCGGGGCCTGGGGCTGGCGCTGAGCTCCTGCGCTTTCCATACATGACGTGGCTTCTCTTCCCAGCCCCACGTGATGAACGGTCCCGCACTCCTACCACGCCCCTGCTCCATGCCGCCCCACCAGCTGTGTGCTGCTGACCCTCCCCACGTCCCTGGGGGCCGAGGGCAGGGGAGGGAGGGCACCCACGGGTGGCCCCAGGGCCCGCTCACCTTGGGCAGGGCCAGCTCCTGGTCCAGCCCCACTTTGATGTAGCACATGAAATAGAGACTTGCTCCAAACATGGCCAGGAAGAGCAGCAGCTGCGGGGGGAAGCGCCGTGTGAAGGCCTCCTGCCCAGCAGCTCCCCAGGCTGGGTCTGGGCGGGGTCTCGTGGGGAACATTCTGGAGTTGGGCAGGCTTGAATCTCAGCCTCCCTCTTGCTTCAGCTCCCGGACCTGGGCAAGCTCGACACCCCTCCAAAGATGACGGACGAGGCGAGGGTCCAGGCTGAGCAGACCCCTGTCCCCGGGTGGCGCGAGGCCCCCCAGCTTCCCCTCCGTCCCCACTCACCACGACCACACGGGTGAACCGGTGCAGCAGGAACGGGACGTAGAACTTGCGGAAGCATCGGAGCAGTAGCCCCTCGTCCTGGCTAGGCGGGGGCAGCTCCCGGGCGCTCTTGCAGCAGCAGACGTCCAGCCGGGAGGCCTGGAAGGAGGCAAGCGCTCAAGGTGGCCCCAAAACAGACCCCAGGGACCACCTCCCTCCCATGGGGTGGGAGAGCCACCTTCCACAGGTGGCCTGTGCCAGCACCACCCAGTGGGGACATGCCACTGTGCGTTGCCTTTATCTCTATTTTCTACCTTGATAAAACACCTTTGAATTTTGCACCATCACGGAAACAGGAACTCCCTCCCTGTCAGTCTCTCATTTATATTTTATGTCATGACCTCGTGTACTTTAGGAGGTTTGATCATATTCCCCCAAATTACCAAAACGAGGTTGCTTTGGGACGTTGGGGACTACGTGGCCCAAATAGTCCAGCACTCTGTTGCCACGCTCAACGCCACACTCTGATCCTTTACTTCTACACAGTAAAGCCACCCCAGCCCCAGCCAAGATGGGGGTCCCTTGCTCTCTCCACCTCCCCTACCTCCTGCCTTCTGCTGTCAAGGGAGAGCAGGGCCACGAAGGCCGACATCTGCAGCAGGAAGTCGAGAAGCAACGCGAAGCCGGAGGTCAGGGCAAAGGTCCGCACAGCTGGCATGGGGGTCAGAGCTCCTGGTGGGGAAGGGGACCAAGGTTGAATCTCAGGGCCCGGCACCCGCTCAGACGGTACAAAGGGAAAGCAGGCTGCCAGCCTCCAAGAACTCCCAGTACCTGGTGGGGAGGGGCTGCCCCGGCTCACCTAGGAAGAAGCAGATGGCCTCGGAGAGGCTGCAAAGCAGCATGCTGGGGGCCACTCTGCCCAGGGCTCGGCCGATGTGGGCCTCCCGCCCCTCCCCAGGCCTCCGTGGCAGTCTCTGCGTGGGGATGGCAGGGACACGGTCAAGATCCAGCCAAGGGCTCTGTTCCTCGCAGGCCAGCAGGGAGCTGGCACGTGCCACCCGCTCCCCCAGGCACAGCCATCGCCTGGAGGCCCAGCCAGGCCTGAGGAAGTGGCTCCACCCTCCCCAGTGCGAGCAGACCCTGCCAACACTGTGCTCGGCCACATCTTCCACTTCTCAGGGCCTGGCCCAGAGAAATGCTTGGCACGTCTGGGGATCATCCTTGCTCTGACCCGTCGTGGAACCCTGAACGTTCACTAACAGGAGAGGCTAAATGGACCCTGAGTTGTCCTTCCATGGAATGCTACCTAGTAGCACAAAGACAGAGGTGGCTGTGTGTGGAACAGAGAAGAACAAACCTGACTCCATATTGGATCTCTAACCTTTGTGCTCTGTTGGCTGTGCTTAGTCATGCTGGCTCTGAATCTTTTGTTCAAGAATGTTGCCTATGGTCTGAAATATACATGATGGTCCATTCTCAAGGCTCTGACCTTTCAAGGTATAACACTTTTCCATTCACACAGAGATAAAAAAGTTGCAGAGCAGAGTCTAACATGTGTCTTGTCGGAGGTTTATAGGAACATTGTGACCAGACCTACGTGGACAGCTGCAAGAACAAAGGATTCCTGGCACCAAAAAGTTTGTAACAACAAGCCACACCCCCTCCCCTTTTAGTATAAAAGAAGCCTAAATTCTAACTCGGGTAAGATGGTTCTTTGGGACAGTAGTCCACCACCTTCTCAGTCTGCTGGCTTTCCGAATAAACTCACTATTCCTTGCCTCAACATCTCGTCTCTCGATTTATTGGCTTGTCATGCAGCAAGCAGTATGAGCTTGGGCTCAATAACATATGTGCTGTGTGACACTCTTACCAGACAGTATGTGGGGCTGACAGAGAGCAAGTTCATGTGACACAGATGGTATGAATACATCTATGTGAAAGATAAATAAACGCAAAGCACTGTTTTCTACAGGAATTGTACACATGGACATCAGCGCTTAGGAAGAGGCCGTAAGAAGCCCAGCAAACCCATGCAGGGCTGCACCTGGGCATGTAGGGGCGGTTGGGGGTATATAGAACTCCTGCCCCCTTACCTGGTACTCGAGAACGAAGATGAAGATGTTGTCGGCCCCCACGGCGAGCACCAGGAATGGCACCACTTGCAGGATCACCAGTGACGAGGGGACACCCAGGTAGGAGAAGAAGCCCATGGAAGCCATGACTGCTCCCAGCACCACAGCCACCCCGCCCAGGCCCAGCGTGGCCTTGGAGTCCACCTGCAATGGGATCAGGCTCAGCCTCCTGGCTGCGGGGCTACCCGATGTGCCCCCAACCTGAGTTAGAGGAGGGCAGAGGGCAGGCTTGCTCCATGCTTCTGTGTTTTGGCCGCTCTGCAGAGCCATCCTCCCAAGGGCAGGCCCTGTGAGCCTGCCACTTCTTCCTCAAGCATGCATTGTAAGATAATGTAAATATTAGCTTTGCATTTGCACAAGTTGGGTGTGGGGTATTGTCAGGGAGCAGAATGAAAACTTTTGAAACAGAACACCTCAAGAAGCATCACCCTTTGGGGGAGCCACTCTGGGTGTGTCCACTCTGCTGTTTTGAAGTGCTCTGGAAAGCAGGTTGGAAAGGTTCTAAGCACCCCGATGGGCCATCCCCACCCTCGCTGCTCCCTTCACTTCTCACCAGTACTCGGCGCCAGCTGGAGTAGCTGCCCAGGGCCAGGGAGATATACAAGAAGATGACGAGGTAGCTGACAGCGAAGATGGGCAGGTCCTCGGCTGTTGTGCTGTTGATCTCATCCTCCAGGGAGCGCTGTGGACGCACACCCGACCAGCCCCACTGACCCAAGGGCTCGGCCAGCAGGCACTGTGTGCGTGAGCCACCGTGAGCCCCGGCAAGGCTGTGAGAACAGCTGTCGCATCACCCCATCCTTCTGGGCAGGCAGACGCTAGCTAAAGGTCACTCAGGAGGGGTGAGGACATGATGGGGACACAGGACCCCACCCAGAGCCACTTGAACTGTCCTCCCCAAAGCCAGGGGACCCTACCTCCGCCATGAATGTGACCTGGAACACACCAGCCATCCGACGCTGGAAGGCTCGCATCTCCTCCAAGAAGGCCCCCTCCCAGAGCTTAGCCTGGGCCAGGCGGGGGTCCCCAGGAGGGTAATTGTTGAGGGAGAAGGTCATGATCAGGGCCTCCGCCTCAGAATAGTCCTTCCCTGGAAGGAGAAATGCTCAGCTACCCTCCAAGCGCACCTCTGCTTTCCTCCCCGACCCCAGCTGCACCGCTATTTCCCCTCCCCCTCCCCTCCTCATCCAAGTCATTGTCGAATGACTACACCCCCCTTCCCTCTCTCAGCCAAAGGCAAAGTCTATGGGCCCAGGCACAGAACCAGAGAACCCGGGCAGGGCTGGGACAAAATGAACGGGGTGGCAGAGGAAGGACAGAGGATGGGCGGGTCTGCAGCCACCCCCAGGCAGCAGGAAGCCCTTTGCCACTCCCACCCTTCTGCCCTTGACTCCTGCCCCGTATGTCCCCTCACTGTCCTCCCGGGGGCCACCCAGCTTACCTTTGTAGCCCCCCACGGCGAGGAAAGGGAAGACGGGCGCCCCGTAGTCAGCCATGCAGCTCAGGGCCAGGGCCGTGCCATCTTTGTAGGTGAGGGGGGCGCTGGAGGGAGAGGAACGCACCTTTCCTGATCCCACTCCCATCTCCGTGGCCCGGGTGCCCCACCCCGGACCCGCAGCGCCATCGCCTGACCCTGTGGTCAGAACATTTCTGGGCCCAATCCAGAGTGAACTGGAGCTCCCTGAGCGAGGCCTCAAGCTCTCTCTCCCCTCATCCCAGCCTCACCCTCCCGGCTCCGCCATCATGTCCTCCCAGATGCGGCGGGTGGGTGAGCGTTACACACGCTCCCCTGGGGTGGGGGCCGGAGTCTGGCACACAAGCCCCCCGGGTCCTAACCACCAACAGAGCCACGCAGGCCTCACGCTGCCCTTAGCCTCCTCCTCCCGCCAGCCCAGAAGCCTCCAGGCCCAGAGGTGGGAACTCTTTCTTTCCTTGGACAGCGTACCAGCCCTGCAACCTTGGGCAGGTCTCCATGCCCTCCACTGAGCCCTTTCTGCGAACACATCACACGTGCGTGGACGAAGCGCTCATTGTGAGCAAGTGCGTCCGTCAGTCACCAGCTGGCTGGGAGTGCTGGTTGCTGTGTGACCTTGAGCAGCTCACCATACCCCTCTGAGCCTCAGTTTCCATGTCTCTGAAATGGGGATAATCGGGCCACCCAAGAATTGTTGTGAGCATCCAAAACCAAAGTAAAGCCAACTCGAGGACTGGAAACCTGGGGTCAGAGCGTCCTCCCTGACCTGCCTGTTCTGAGGGCCAGCCCTGCGGCTGAAGCACAGACTCTGGGAAGCAGCCCAAACTTGGCTCACCTGAAGGGTGGGAGCCCTGGCTCCCCTGTCCAATCCAGAGGTTCTCAGGGTGGCATGGGGGCCTCGGGAGCCCTGGAGACCCTTTCAGGGGTCTGCAAGGTCAAAACTATTTCCATAATAACACTAAGATGCTGTTTGCAATTTTTACCCTTCTTCGATCTCGAGTCTGTGGAGTACAGACAGTTCACGGACATGGCTCTAGTTTCCATATTGCCGCTAACATCTAAGAAAAGATCACTTGGGGACTTCCCTGGTGGTCCAGTGGTTAAGAATCCTCCTTCCAATGCAGGGGACGCGGGTTCGATCCCTGGTCAGAGAACTAAGATCCCACGTGCCAAGGGACAACTAAGCCCACGCGCCTCAACTAGAGAGAAGCCCGCATGCCGCAACTAAGACCCAACGCAAAAAAGAAAAAAAAAGATCACTTGCTGAGCTTTGGTGACGTATCAGAGCAAATCCACAATTCTCTGGAAAGGCTACTACAACACTCCTCCCTCCTCTGGCTACACGAGTGCGTGGCCAAGCATTCTCGCTGAGCTTCAACCAACAGGCCAAACGCAGAACCAGATGCCAGGATCCATCCAGCATCTGCTAAGCAAGACCCTAACGAGATTTGCAAAGATGCAGAACAATGCTGCTCTTATCACTCCAGATATTTTTGGTACAGAAAATACCATTATTTTTCATAAAAATATGTTATTTGTGGCAGCATGTAACGGGCCTATTATTGTTATTTTTTAAAGAATTAAGAAATATTTCGTCATTTCTCCGTTTTACTTTCTCACGTGGTAAATGTCAGTAGATATAACCTCTATCCAAACCCAAGCTCTCTGGAGTCCTCGGTCTTTTGTCAGAGTGTGAAGGGACCCTGAGACCAGGCTTTTGAGGACCTCTGCCCATTCCAACCCCAGAGAGCCTCAGTGGCTGCCTGTCCACCTACCTGCTCCCCTCCAGGCTTGGTACCTCTCAGACCTTCGCTCTTGGTCCCAAGGCCCAGCGCCTTCACTGGCCTCCTGTTTGCACCACGGCAAAGTGGACACAGCCGGGGACAAAACCCCAAACAGCGTGAAGGGGTGTAGCTGCAGCCTGCACAAGGGTACCCGGCCCAGGCGAGCAGGACCTAAAACCAGCCCCGGCCCCTGCCCTGGCCCGGGGCACCTCACGGGCTACCCATGGCCCTGCTGGCGTGCATCCAGGCCCAGCACAAAAGCAGAAAGGAAAATAACGAAGCACACCCATGAGCAGGGCCCTCGGATTGCTCTGCGACCCTTAGACCAAGAACACGCAAGGATGGGCCCTATGTCAGGAGCGCTGCAGAAAGACCGCGTGGAGGCTCTGATGGTCAGGTGCAAACCAGCTACAGTGAGCACGCACCCCGCTTACGGCGTGCGGGTCCGAGAGGGAGCACGGAAAGAAATGGCACGTCGCCGCCCCTGCAACCGAGACCCAGAGCCACACGGGGCCTCTCATTTTGGGCTGTGTACCTGGCCTGGGCTCCAGGGGGCCCACGCCGACCCCAGCAGCCACGCCCGCGAGCACTCACTTGGCGCAGTAGAGAAAGTGGTCCTTCCAGTCCACCTGGGAGGTCTGCCCCAACAGCGTCTGGTTGGCCGTGAGCAGCAAGCGCGTGCGGTTGTTCTGGAAATACTGCAGGAGGCTGTTGACGCAGCAGTCGGAGAGACTGGCGTTGTGCGGGTTGAGGGGGGCGTAGCAGGTGTCCTGCAGGGAGACGTTTCGCTGCTCCTCTGGCGACCACACCTGCAGGCGCCGCAGCCTCTCCTGCAGCTCCAGCACCTCCAGCAGCAGGTCAGAGGACAGGATCCCACTGAAGTTCTTGGGCCCCAGCAGCAGGGAGTCATACCTGTAGCGGGGCCGGCCAGGTGCCGTCAAGATCACCTGGTTGGTTCGGAAGAAGGGGCCAAAATGCTTGTCGTGGAATGCCTTCTCACTTCGGGCTCGGCTGCTGGGGGCTGACCACAGCTCCACGGGGTCTGTGGTCAGTTCTATAAAAGCCAGGCCCCCTGCCATGGGCACCACCACAACAGTGGACACCACCAGGATGGTCACTGGCCACGAGGCCACCCACGTGCCCCAGCACTGGAAGCACTGGCTGAGGACGGTGTGGGTGGAGAGGCTGAGCCGGTGGGCGAGGCTGATGCTCGCCTCGGGGCTGGGCGTCTTGCGTTGGCACCGCTCAGCCAGGCGGGACCACAGGAGGAAGGCGGTGAGCAAGGCGAAGACAGAGCAGAGGATGAGGGTGAGGGCCAGGCTCCCGACCATGCGGCCCAGGTAGAAGGTGGGGTCCAGGGCCGGGGGCCGGGCGATGACGGGGCAGGAAGCAGTGCAGTCCTGGCAGGAGCAGGCCGACGCGCCGTAGCCCAGGGACCGGTTGCAGGGCACAACCTCATCGTTCAGAAGTTGCATCACGCTGCCCTCGGCCTGGCTAGGCTCCCACAGGTGAAAGGTGATGTCCAGGGGTGCCAGGCCGTTCCCCGTGTCCCCCTGGAAATTGAGCCAGCGCTGGGCATTGCAGAGGGCAGAGCCGTAGACACCGCACATGGAGCCCACCACCAACGTGGCGGCCGCAGGGATGCGCACCCGGCTGCAGGAGTCGTAGGTCCGCTCGGCGAAGCTGCGCTGGTAGTAGGCCTCATAGGCCACCACCGCCCGGGGCTGGCTGCCCCCCTGCCCGGCCACTCGGGTCACGTTGATGAAGAGGCTCTGGTTGGAGCTGCAGGTGTTGTGACAATGCAGGCTCACGAAGTTGTCAGAGCAGGCAGGGCAGCGGGTGAGGAGGGCCTTGGTGACCCCCAGGCTCACGTCCAGGGCCACCAGCTGTTTCGGGGAGCAGCAGGCGTAGGTGGTGTTGGGGCCGGTGTAGAGGCGGGGACAGATGCTCTGCAGGAGGGTCAGGTGGTCACCCGTGACGTGGCGAGCAGGCGTGTTGTCCAGGCAGGACACGTTGGTCAGTGAAGCCAGGCCTCCAGACAGCTCCGGGTTCTTCCCGCACTCGTCGTAGAAGGCGCAGTATCCGGGCCGGTGTATGGGCGTGTACAGCTCGCTCTGGGCCTGTGGAACAGGGCAGCATCACCCCGAGCCCCAGCGCCGGCCAGCACCTCCGGGTAGCTGATGGGGCAGCGGGCGGCCAGGACAAGCGTGGAGAAGGAAGCAGAGCAGGGCGGGTAAGGGGTGGACGCCAGGCAGGTCCAGGATGCCAGGGATCCTGGGGGAGTGCTGGAGGAGGTGGGGCGCCGAAGCAGCACGTGGGGCTCCCAGTGGGGTCTGAGGGTGGTGAGCGGATGGGAACAGCCAGGCATCCACCCTGAGCGACAGGGTCACTGGAGAGAGAGGTGACCTGGCACATCTGCCTTTAGCAAGGTCACTCCGGAGGGTAAGGGGACAGTAGTGACAACGGGGTCACCCAGGAGACCCCTGGAAGCCACTGTGTGGTCCTGCTGAGAAACGATGACCCCTGGACAGGTGGAGGGCTGCTCCAAGGGGCCGTGTGGATTCAGGCCCTGTGCACCTGGGGCACCATTGCCGTTGCTGGCAGCTGCCACCGTGCCCAAGCTGCAGCCAGGGCCCCTCTTGGAGATTCTGAGCAGAGCTTCCCCTGCCCTTACCTGCTGGGGGCTGAAAGCCTTCACCCACCTTCCCAGACATGCAAATGAGCAAGAAACTTGCGAGGCAAGACCTCCTCCCAAACCTAGATGCTAAATCCTCATTAGGTGATTCTCCCCCCGAACCCATGCCGTCAGCACCCCGGGACTGGCTCCTCCCTTAACCTTCCACCAACCGTCTTAGGCCAGGACACCCACAGAGGACCAGGAATGGGAGGCACTCAGTCACACCCAGTCCAGCTACCCCCTGCTCAACACTTGTGTCCATCTAACCCCGCGACCTGAAGACTTGAGCAGCTCAGGGCCCTCGACCTGCACCCCTCCTCTGGGGAGCCTGGGATCCCTCATCTGTTTAGAAACTGCCCCCTCCCCAGACCCCAGGCCCTCTCTCACTGTTGCCAAGCAGCCCCCTGCCCGGGGTGGACATAGGGCCTGGGACTCACCAACTTCAGGAGCAGAGCCCAGAGCAGCCAGCCCTTCAGGCCGACCTCCACCATCCTGGCACTGGGAAGGGGTCAGAGGGTAAGTGAGGCCAGGACTTGGGGACAGCCAAGGGCTGGCTCCTGGCAACACACAGAGCTCACTGCGGCTGTACATATACTAAAACTGGGGACGGCCTACGAGGCAGCTTCCCCACCCGGGACAGCGTCACCCGATTGAGTTGGGGACCAATGGGGCTGAGCCCTGCACCTCCCAGGGCTCCCAGCTGGTTAATGATCCACCTCACTTGTCCCTCCAACCTTTGGCTGCACCCTCTCAGTTGAGCCTCCCGGGGTGTCCCCTTCACCCACTTCCCAAAGTGACCAAGGCCAGAGGGCTGAGCGAGCCAGAGACTTCCCGTGAGCTCCCCAAGCGGCCTCTGCTGCAGGAGGTCCCAGGCCCAGGGACAAGTGCAAGATGTGGCTGGGCCCGGGCACCGGCCCTCTGAACCTCTCTTCGCGCCCCCAAGCCCCAGCCTCAGACCCCCCAGTCTCCCCAGCACCCTCTTGGGTCCAGGCCAGCTCTGGCTGGGACACACCCTTGCACTGTCATCCTTGGCAACTGTTGTTAATTAATATTAACAACCCGATAACAGAGGGGGCAGTTAGGGGTGGAGTGACACAGTGACAGCAGTCTCCTCTGGGTGGAGGGGCAAACACCAGCTCACTGGGGTCTGACAGTGCACAGAGACCCCAGGTGTGACGGGTACACACAGCCTCGCTCCTCCGCCCCCGGCCCCTCCCTTATGTCCCGTGCCCCGGTCTGTCCCCACCAACCACGGAGGGGCTGAGTGTCGCTGGGAGCCCCAGGCAAGCAGCCCCGCCCCCCCTGGGCCCAGGTTACACTTCATTCACCTTCTGCTCCTTCCAGAAAGGGAGCTCTGAGGTCTCCCTTGGGCTCTCCCTATCACCAGAATGGGTCAGACCTTGGCCCCCATGCCAAGGCTGAGCAGATAAGGTCAGCCCGGGGGGGGGGGGCTATCTCTCATGTGACCACCTGCCAGAGGCAGCTGCTGGAAGGAAACTGCTGTCTCCCTGGTCTTGTGTTTGCTTCATAGACCCTGGCCTGACTCAGAGGGAGCCACCCAACACATACAGGGGAAGACAGAAGCCAAGAGTGGGGGAACCAGACGCCAAGGGGGGATGCCAGGGCAGGTGCAGGTGGACCCCTAAGCCCCCAGTCAGCCACGGTGGAGAGGAGAGCCAACAGCCCAGGGGCTGCCGTGTGCAGTGACCTCCATCCGGCACCTCCCGGGCCCCGCCCCCATACACCCTGGCAGGCTGATGCTGGGACTCCAGCTCTGTCTCCCAGATAGGCTCTGTCCTCTCTCCTAGATGTCCATCCCCCGAAGCAGACACTGAGGCAGGGATTCCACTGCAAAGAGTTGATTTGGAAGGTGATCCCAGAGGGCACCAGCAGACAGTGGGGATGAGCCAGGGGATGGAAGGAAACAACCAGAGTGCATTGAAGAGTGGGCTCCTTGGACTTCCCTGGTGGTCCAGTGGTTAGGTCTCCATGCTTCCACTGCAGGGGGCACCGGTTCCGTCTCTGGTCGGGGATCTAAGATCCCACATTGTGTGCTGCGCGGCCCACAAAAAAAAAAAAAAAAAAGAGTGGGCTCCGGCTCGAGTACCCACAGCCTCACGGGGAACCTCCGGAAGATGATGTGGAGCCTGCCCCAAGGGTGTGTGCTTGTCCATCACCTTCTTTGGTCGCTGGTTGAGGACATTCTCTGCAGCTTCAGCCCCAGGCCCCTCTGGCACTTGTGGAGTCCCCGGGCACACCCCCTTGACCTAGTTTGTCCCTAGGGGAGGCCCACAGAGACGGAGCCCAGACGTGTGGCCTCTGGGATCTTCTCTGAAACACACACAGGGGGAAAGCAGCAGTATCCAGCTCTGGGTAAAAGACGAAAACTCTCAGCCACAATCTCACCACCTGGCTCCCTGGGCATGTGTGGGGTCTCCGAGGCCACGCTCCGGGCACAGACTTCTGTTGCGAGCACAGTTTTTGTACACTCCCGTATCCCACTTTATCTCCTGACATTTAGCACAGACTCAACACTTCCTTCAGACTCTGACTAGCGTGTGTGTCACTGGGCTGTGTCCCACAGAGTGATGGATTGCCTGCTCTCCTAGTGCCAAAGGTCGGCTGCTTCCAATAAAGAAGCTTTTGGTTGATATCTTTGTGCCTAACTGTATTTCCTCTATTTTGTATTTATCTTCCTTAATCCAGGATTCCAGAGATGAGATGGGAGTGTTGACGAGTACCACGTTTACAGCCCTAAGTACACACAGTTCATCAGCTCTCCCCTTGGGCTAATCTAATCTAGGATGTCTTGACTAATTATCAGATTCTTGCTTATCGGTGTCGGGTGAAGGGGTCAGATGGTGGACACACATGGATTCCCCAAGGGTTGCGACTCTTTTCACTGACACCAGCAATAACCAAAAGTGCCAAGTCACTAGCCTCACCTTCACTGTGTGTTCGATCTGCTGTCAGACTTTACAAATTTAATAACTGTAAGAAGATGTCTCGTTTTCAATTCTCCTTTATTACTAGCGGGATTGAACCTGCCCCAGCAGTCCCAGAGAGGGAACTGGAGCTGAACACTGTTGCTAAGCTCAGGAGGTGGCGAGGAGGGGCCAGCTGCCAGCATAGGAGCCTCCTGTGGTCAGGGATGCCTGGCCGACGCAGCGCGCCTCACTGGCTTGCCTCTCTGCACCCCAGGAGCGTGCTGAGGGTCTGCAGTCTGGGCTGAGAGGCCAGGGTAAGACGGTGGTGCTCCACCAGTCACTGGTCCAGGCGTGGCGCCCGGCTAGCTGTGTGTGCAATGCTCTGACCAGCAGTGATGTGGACAGTTTACGGTCATTTCCAGCTCACAGGGGTGACCAGCCTACAGGCCGAGATTTGGAACCTGGTCACTTAGCGGACCCTTCATCTTCTTTGCCATCAGACCCCAATTCTATTTGGTGAAGGACTGTGTCCGCAGTCCAGGTGAGAGATGCTGCTCCCTGCTCTCCCAGCCTCCTTTGCAGCCAGCAGTGGTCCCGTGATCCTGTTCTGGCCAATGTGAAGGCTTCTTTTAAGAAAAAATAGATTTAATTTTTGAGCAGTCTTATGTTTATAGAAAAATTGAGCAAACACAACATTGTAACAACTATATTTCAATTTTTAAAATTTGGGGGAACTTCCCTGGTGGCACAGTGGTTAAGAACCCACCTGCAAACGCAGGGGACATGGCTTCGAGCCCTGGTCCGGGAAGTTCCCACATGCCACGGAGCAACTAAGCCTGTGTGCCACAACTACTGAGCCTGCACTCTAGGGCCCGCGAGCCACAACTACTGAGCACACGTGCCACAACTACTGAAGCCCACGCACCTAGAGCCCATGGTCCGCAACAAGAGAAGCCACCGCAATGAGAAGCCCGAGCACCACAGCGAAGAGTAGCCCCCACTCAATGCAACTCGAGAAAGCCTGCTCGCAGCAACGAAGAACCAACGCAGCCAAACATAAATAAATAAATAAATATCCTTCTAAAAAAATTTTTTTTTCTTAACTGAACAGAAGGTACATAGCTCCCTCATGCCCTTTCATCCCCTCAACAGTTTCGTCCATTACGACTCTCTTGCATTACTGTGTGGCACATTTGTTGCAATCAATGAGCCAATATTGACGTTATTATTCACTGAAGTCCATAGTTCACCTTAGAGTTCACTCTTGGTGTGTACCTTCTATGGGATTTGACAAGTGTGTAACGACATGTATCCACAATTATAATATTATACAGAATAGTGTCTCAGCCTAAAAATCCAGTTCATCCTTTGCTCTCCCTAAACCCGAACCACTGAAAGCCGCTGCTCTTTGTGCATACATTTTTTTTGTGTTCATAAAATACACATACCATAAAATTTACCTTCTTAACCTTTTTTTTTTTTTTTTGCGGTACGCGGGCCTCTCACTGCTGTGGCCTCTCCCGTGGCGGAGCACAGGCTCCGGACGCGCAGGCTCAGCGGCCATGGCTCACGGGCCCAGCCACTCCGCAGCATGTGGGATCTTCCCGGACCGGGGCACGAACCCGTGTCCCCTGCATCGGCAGGCGGACTCCCAACCACTGCGCCACCAGGGAAGCCCTCTTAACCATTTTTAACTGTCCAGTTCAGTGGTCTTAAAGACATTCACACTGTTGTGCTACCATCACCACCATCCATCCTCCTGATTCATTTCATCCGGTAAAACTGAACTTCGGTACCATTAAATGTTGACTCCCCATCTTCCCCTCCTCCCAGGCTCTGGCAACTACCATTCTTCTTTCTGTATCTATGAATCTGACTGCTGTAAGTACCACATATAAGTAGAAGCATACAGTAGTTGTCTTTTTGTTACTGGCTTGTTTCATTTACCATAACGTCTTCAAGGTTCATCCATCTTGCAAAATTTCCTTCTTTCTTAAGACTGAATGATATTCCATTGTATGTATACACCACATTTTGCTTATCCATCCGTCAATGGACACTTGCTTCCATTTTTGGGCTATTGTGAATAATGCTGTTATGAACACGGGCGTACAATATCCCTTCCAGACTCTGCTTCAGTGCTTTGGAGCATATACCTAGGTATGGAATTATGGGACCGTATGGCAGTTCTATTTTTAATTTTTTGAGGAACCGCCGTACTGTTTTCCACAGCAGCTATACCATTTTATGGTACCACCAACAGTGCACAAGTGCTCCAATTTCTCCATTTCCTTGCCAACACTTGTGCTTTTCTAGTTTTTTGATAGTAGCCATCCTAATGGGTGTGAGGTGGTATCCCATTGTAGTTTTGATTTTCATTTCCCTAATGACTAGTGACGTCGAGCATCTTTTCATGTGCTTATTCGTCATTCATATATCTTCTTTGGAGAAATGTCTATTCAAGTCCTTCGCCAATTTTTTAATCAGGTTTTTTTCTTGTTTGTTTTGGTTTTTGATGTTGAGTTTTAGGAGTTCTCTCTATAATCTGGATATTAATCCTTTGTCAGATATATGGTTTGCAAATATTTTCTCCCATTCTGTGGGTTGTCTTTTTACTATGTTGACAGTGACTTTTGATGCAAAAAGTTAATTTTCATTTAGTCAAACTTCTCTATTTTTCCTTTCACTAAATGTGCTTTTGGTGTCATATCCAAGGAATCATTGCCAAATCCAATGTCATAAAATTTTGTCCTATGTTTTATTCTAAGAGTTTTATACTTTCAGCTCTAAAGTTTAGGTCTTTAACATCCTAAACTTATAACACTCTAGTTTTTATTTATACCAGCTTAAGTTCAATAACATATAAAACTCTGTTCCTTTACAGCTCTGTCTCCACCTCTTTCAGCTGTTGTCACAGAATTACATCTTTATATATTATGCATCCAAAAACATAAACTAATAATTATTTCAAACGCATTTGGCTCTTAAATTACATAGAAAGTAAGATTTGGGGTTACAAACCAAGGTACAGTAATACTAGTTTTCACAGTTTTTTAAAATTAGTTTCTTAAACCATGTAGGAAACAAAAATTGCAGTTATAAATCATTGTTACAGTGAGATAGCTTTTATAATTGCCCACATACCTTTACTGAGATCCTTATATCTCCATATGGCTTTGAGTTACTGTTTAGTGTCCTTGTAGCACTCCTTTGAGCATTTCTTGCAGGGAAGATCTAATGGTTACAAACTCCGTCCGTTTTTGTTTATGTGCGAATGTCTTAATTTCTCCCTCACTTTTGAAGGACAGTTTTGCCAGATATAGGATTCTTGTTAACAGCTTTTTTCCTTTTCGCATTTTGAATATATCAGCCCAACATCTTACGGACTCCAAGGTTTCTGATGAGAAACTTGCTGATAATCTTTTTGAGGATCCCGTGTATGTAACAATTTGCTTCTCTCTTGCTGCTTTCAAGATTATCTCTTTGGCTTTTGTAAATTTGATTATAATATGTCTTGGTATGGATCTGAGTTCACATTACTTGGAGTTCATTGTTTCTTGAATGTTTATGTTCATTTATTTCATCAAATTTAGAAAGTTTTCCACCATTATTTCTCCAAATATTCTCTCTGCCCCTTTCTCTCTTTATTCTCCTGAGACTCCTTGATGCATAGGTTGGTATGATGGATATTGTCCTACAAGTCCTTTAGGCTCCATTTGCTTTTCTTCAAATTTTTTTCTTTCTCTTTCTCAGACCTGATAATTTACATTATCCTATCTTCAATTCACTGATTTTTCTTTTTTTATATAAATTTATTTATTCTTTTAGTTTATCTTTGGCTGCGTTGGGTCTTTGTTGCTGCGTGGGGGCTTTCTCTAGTTGTGGCGAGCGGGGCCTACTCTTTGTTGTGGTGCGTGGGCTTCTCATTGCAGTGGCTTCTCTTGTGGCAGAGCACAGGGTCTAGGCACATGGGCTTCAGTAGTTGCGGCACATGGGCTCAGCAGTTGTGGTTCGCAGGCTCCAGAGCAGAGGTTCAGTAGTTGTGGTGCATGGGCTTAGTTGCTCTGCGGCATGTGG